TATGTGTCAATTTGTATATTCGTTACCAGAATAATTTGGAGAATTTGTGCAATTGCTATCCATGGCCCATTATACAAACTTTTAGCAACTGCAAAGCATATGAGAAAGCAACAGCTGGCTCTATAGAAATTTTTTTGATACATTCATTTCTGGATGTGTGTTATTGTACAATAGGAATATTGACCACTGAGGAAGGCCCGAAGGGGCCAAAACGTGTATGGTCTATTGGTCACAGTTTTACCCATCCATTGGACATGTATAACTATCATCTCTGAATGTAATAAGCTTTAAGAGTTGGCTATTTGGACTATTTCTTTTAACCTTATGTATGTTTTATTTATGTGTACACCATAATAATGGAGCTGCGGTGGCTCAAGTGGTTAAGATGCTGAACTCTGCGGTGGCTCAAGTGGTTAAGACGCTGAACTGCAGGCTGTGGAAGGTCAGTAGTTCAGCAGTTCGAGACCCGGGTGCCGCATGACGGAGTGAGCTCCCATCTCTAGTTCCAGCTCCTGCCAACCTAGCAGTTCGAAAGCAAGAAATCGCAAGTAGATATAAATAGGTACCGCTTCAGTGGGAAGGGAACAGTGTTCTGTGCGCCTTGGTGTTTAGTCATGCCGGCCACATGACCACGGAAACGTCTTCGGACAGTGCTGGCTCTTCTAGTCGGATTTGACTGGCTTTTGAACAAGGGAACCTTTACCTTTACATAATAAGTATTTGTATTTTTATAACAATTTATTTGTCAGCTTGACCCTCTTAGATCACAGACCTCCAAGGAATATCAGGGCTGGGACCAGTGTTCCCTCTAAGCTGAGTGAGTGTGAGCTAGCTCACAGTTTTTTAGCCTCCGGCTCACACATTTTTGTCTTAGCGCAGGAAGGAGGGCTCCAGAGCAAACTAATTTATGCAGGAGCCACATCGCTGGCTCACAGCTTTAATGCCAGTAGTTCACAAAGGAGAATTTTTGCTCACAGGACTCCACAGCTTAGAGGGAGCATTGGCTGGGACCGAGGCGCCCTCTAAGCTATGGAGTCCTATGAGGAACAATTCTACTTTGTGAGCTCCTGGCATTAAAGTTGTGAGCAGGTGATTTGAGTACTGTACAAATTAGTTTGCTCTGGAGCCCTCCTTCCTGAGCGAAGATAAAAACGTGTGAGCCAGAGGCTAAAAAACTGTGAGCTGGCTCAAACTCACTCAGCTTAGAGGGGACGCTGGCTGGGACGCGGAGGTGCAGGCAATAGCAAGCCACCTCTCTAAAATGTCCAAGTCCCACTTGGGGTCGCCAGAAGCCAAGCATGACTTCCAGGCGTGCACGCACACACACACAAGCACACACACACAAAAAGCAATAAGGACGAAAAGCTGACTTCAAAATCAAACCATTCCGGGATGCCTGGACGCAGCGTCCAAATGCTGAACTCTCTGTGTTTATGCAGCGCAGTCTCAGAACAGCTCTCCCGATATCCGCCTGGCGTCTCAGTGAGAAACGCCGGCTAGAAATAAAATACAGGAGTCAATGGTCGGTTTAGTGTACCAGTGGGCACCCCTCGCAGAATGCCAGAGCTGCCCTTGACAGTGGTTACCGAATCCCACACTTTTCACAGAACCCTACCGTCAAAGTCCAGACCTTTACATTAGACTCCGGCAATAGCTGGGAGTTTTTCTTCTGGGATCTCACCCGCTTCCCCCTCCTTTGCCCCTCCTGCTCTGCTTCTGATGAGCTTTGTCAACTCTAAAAGGAGATAAGCAGGCACATTCTGAAGCTCTCTGCTCACAAGTTCCATAGGGCCAGTGTTCCCTCTAAGCTGAGTTAGTGTGAGCGAGCTCACAGTTTTTTAGCCTCCGACTCACACAGTTTTGTCTCAGCTCAGGAAGGAGGGCCCCAGAGCAAACTAATGTCTGCAGCAGCCAAATCGCTCGCTCACAACTTGAATGCCGGTAGCTCACAAAGTAGGATTTTTGCTCACAACCAGAGGTCATTTCGGGGGGAATCGTGGGGGATCACAGTTCCCCGTCAGGGGGTGTGGCCTTATGACACACTTCCGGTGATGTCAGTGGGTGTGGCATATGCTAATGAGTTATGCTAATGCGTTTCCCTAGCTCTTTTTCTACGAAATGACCCCTGCTCACAAGTCTCCACAGCTTAGAGGGAGCATTGCTCAGTGCATATATGGCGTTCTGGGCAAACGCGCTTCCCTAGACTCTGCAGAGGTTTCCACGGGTCATTCCTCAAGCAGGGCACAGAACGCAGCCATGACCCACAGCCAGGACAGGGCAGGTTGTGCTTGGCTGGATCCCCCTGTGCGCACGAGAGCACCCAGCCACGCCCCACCCGTCCTCGGCGGCTCCCGAATCCCACGCAAAGTCTTGCTAGCCACACCTTGCATACAGCCCCGCCTGTTTCTGTTTCTCCCATAGGTCCTCAAAAGAATGGAAAGGTGCCCTGCAAGGTCTGTATGCCTACATGTAAGTCAGCGCCAGGATCTATGCCCCACAGGGGCCGACTGGGTGGGAGGTGGGAATGGAGTAGGATGCTCTTCTGATTCCGTATCGAGGGCCGCGTCGCTCGGAGCTCCCACACCTGCTTGGTTTGCAGGAGGGCTCCGGTTGCGTTCTTAACATCTTCACCCAGACTGGGTAGCAGACGGAGGGGAAACCCTCCACCCGAGATTTCGGAGAGAGAGACGGGTAGCATGAGCTGGCTGCACATGTTCAGCACAGTGTCTGCTCCCTTACAGAGTGGGTAAGTGGGACCGACGTATCCACGGGACCGTCTCCTCCGGTATGTCCCTGGGAGAGCCTCGTGCTCTTCAGATAACCACCTACTGGTGATCCCCAGCCCTGGGGATGTCCCGCTGTCCTCGACTTGGGCCAGGGTCTTTTCAGTCCTGGCCCCGGCCTGGTGGAACTCTCTGCCAAGTAGGCTTGCCAAGTCCCCCCGGCGGGCGGGGAAACCCCCACCCCAGGGGCCTGTTCCCTGCTGCCGGCGGATCGGGCCCACGGGGGAACCCCACCCCCCAAAGCACGCGACGTGCACGTCACCCGGAAGTGACGCGGGCACTCTATGGTTTTCCCTCGGATGGTCGTGGCCCCGCCCCCAGCATGCCCAGCGTGGTCGCGTCACTTCCGGGTGACGGGGTTGCGGCACGCATGCGCAAAGCAGCGCTGGAGCCCCCCCGCTCCAGCGCCGCTTCTGACTTGGCAACCCTACTGCCAAATGACATCAGGGCCCTGCGGGGTCTTATGCAATTCTGTAGGCTGGTACCCCCCCACACACACTTTTGTTCCGAATTCCCTTCCCCCTGCCCAGAAATTGGGCCAATAGTCCAAAACTGGGATAAAAAACATTATTGGATGGCATCTGGGATCTCTTATTCTGAATTCAAATTTTTATTAAGTTGTATATTGAATTGTGAGGAGCTGCGGTGGCTCAAGTGGTTAAGATGCTGAACTGCAGGCTGGAAGGTCGGTAGGTTAGCAGTTCGGGACCCGAGTGTGCCACGTGACGGAGTGAGCTCCCGTTTCTGGGCCCAGCTCCTGCCAACCTAGCAGTTCGAAAGCAAGAAATTGCAAGTAGATAAATAGGTACCACTCTTGAGAGTCCCTTGGACTGCAAAAAGATCAAATCAGTCTATCCTAAAAGAAATCAACCCTGACTGTTCCCTGGAAGGCCAGATAAACTGAAGCTCAAATACTTTGGCCACCCAATGAGAAGGGAGCACTCACTGGAGAAGACCCTGAGGCTGGGAAAGACTGAAGGTCAAAGAAGACGGGGACGGCAAAGGATGAGAGGGTTGGGCAGTGTCATAGATGCAACGAACATGAAATTGAGCAAACTTCAGAGGACGGCGGAAGACAGGAGGGCCTGGCGGGAGCTGGTCCATGGGGTCGCGAAGAGTTGGACTCGACTGTGCGACTGAACAACAACAACAACATATTGAATTGTAATGTTTTGGATATTTTATGGCATTATGCCTCTTTGTACACCGCCCAGAGCCTGGCGTAAGCTAAGATAGGGTGATTAATAAATCAAATAATGGTGGTGGTGGTGGTGGTGATGATGACAGTCTAGACTGGGCCAAAAGTGCCAGTATTTCCCTCCTCCAAACCAAAGCTGCCTCACTAGCAAAGGAGAACCGAATCCACGCTTGACCAGTTGGGCTTCTGGACCAGGGCTGCCAACATCCAATGGGACTTGGGGATCTCCCGGGATTTGATCTCCAATTGATAGGGATGAAATGGAGAAAATGGCTGCTTTGGAGGAAGGGGCTGCGGCTCAGTGGTAGAGCATCTTCTTGGCATGCAGAAGGGCCCAGGTTCAGTCCCCGGTATCTCCCGTTAAAAGACCTGGCAGTCGATGATCCGGCAGTAGGTGAAAGACCTCTGCCTGAGACCATGGAGAGCCACTGCCTGTCTGAGTAGACGGTACAGACTTTGAGGGACCAAGGGTCTGATTTGTTATAAGGCAGGTTCATATGATCATGTGTGACTCCATGGCATTTTACTCTGCTGAGGCTCCTCCCCTCTCCAAACCCTGCCCTCCCCAAGGCTCCACCCCTAATTGTCTGGGAATTTCCCAACCTGCCATTGTTAACTCTATTCTGGATGGAGCCTGTGGTGCGTGGCGCTGAGCATTCCGCAGTGCTCAGGCCAGTTAAACGTGTTCAGGCTTTAGAGTTGACAGCCTCTCGGTGGGAACCAAAAATGAGAGATCACGAGAGGAAGTAGAATTCCAAAAACAACATCCATGACAAAAATAACGAAGAGTCAATAACGATAAGTTGCAAAAATGTTTACTGTAGTAATGTCTGTAGAAAATTTTCTTCTATTATCGCTCACATGCTAATGAAGACTGTGTAATGAAAACAATTCGTTTCACGATACCTTTATCTGAGCGTGTAGCAATCCCAATTCTTATCTATCACTACTTATCAACTCCTGAAGGAAACATTCCATGTTGACTCTCCAATAACAGAACCCAAGGTCTGTCGGAAGGCTTTAAAGGGGGACATTGTGAAGACCTTGGGTTCTGTTATTAGAGAGTCAACATGGAATGTTTCCTTTTTTAAAACATTCTCATTGCTTTTCTAAAACTACGACTCTACAGGGTCGGTGGAAGGGAACAATCTAAAATAAAGAGTACCAAGGATCTTTGATACAGTATTTTAAGATAATTAAAACATTTCCAATTCTCCAAAGAAAGATTGGGAAAGATTGAAGGTCAAAGAAGATGGGGACGGCAAAGGATGAGATGGTTAGACAGTGTCATCGATGCAATGAACATGAAATTGAGGAAACTTCAGAGGATAGCGGAAGCCAGGGGGGCCTGGCATGATCTGGTCCATGGGGTCGCGAAGAGTCGGACTCGACTGTGCGACTGAACAAGAACAAATTCTCCAAATGGTAAAATGTGAGAGTTACTAATAAAACAAAGAAGATCAAGCAAAACAACAAACAATCTCTAACATGATTGATTATGGTATAGATTTCGCTTTAACATTATACAGGAAAAAGTACACATTGGACTAACAATATCAATCTATTTTGCTTATTTCTTTCCTCTCAATTTCTTATCGAAGTCCAAATTAATTTTTGGCTTTTAGGTGTTAAAGTATAAACACCTCTAATTCTGATTCAAAATCAAAGGATTCTGCCATGTTATTCTAGTTGGTATCAGGACTTTCCCCTACTTCTTCTTCCTCTGCATCTTTGTCGTTTTCTGGTTTCTCAGAACCATCTCTCGCTTTATGTTTGTTGCATCAGGAATCTTTTCGCTTAGTGAACAGAGTCTGTTCTTGCTGGGGTTTCTTTAAGTTCCTTTTGCACTGCAACAACCCCACGTTAAAGTTGGTCTTCTGGTCCAGTAGATGGCGCAAATCTGCAACAATCTTTTAGGGAGAGTCTGTGGTTGTTTCCGGTTTAGTTGCCGGAAAAGATATGCTGGCAGTTCCAATTGTAGGTTTCGTTTTCGCCACCATTCTTTCTGCTCGCTTTGTCGTTGTTTACAGTAAGAGTACAATTAAAATAGTATCTAAGAGTCCAATAGTCCTCTGCTTTCTTGCTAATAAACACCACATTCAATCAAATTCCACTTCTTTCAAGCCATTCTTTCTGTCCCTCGCTTAACTCTGTCTTTTCAGACTCGGGTTTCCCCCTCCCCCTTCCACATTTTGGGACTTCAGTGCGGCTTGGCTGCTGACGAATGTTGGGGTGTAAATTCACTCACATCTTTACTTGCGTTTAAGTAGATAGGTAGGTTCATTGCTTCAGATCCCTTGTGCACTCTGGCTGGTGTGCACCTCTAAATGCCATTGCAGACTCCGTGCCGCGGGGACCTATCGGGACAAAGAGGAGCCTCGATCCTTTGGCTTCCGCCTTGGGAGAGGCACCTCTCACGCCCCAGGCTACGACCCCCCTCCAAGGGGTCCGGGGGCCCCAAGACCAGCTCAGGACCCCTCCCCATCGGCATGTTTGCGGGTCACTCACATCAGAGCTGTGATGGAGCATGCCCGCGTGCAAGTCGCCAAAACCGAAACACATGGAATGTTTCCTTCAAGAGTTGATAAGGAGTGATTGATAAGAACTGGGATTGCTACATGCTCAGATACGGCGAATCTCGTGAAACGAATCGTTCGTTGCGCAGTATTCGTTACCGTGTGAGCGATAATGGAAGAAAATTTTCTACAGAGATTACGATGGTAAACATTTCTGCGATTTATCTTTATTGACTCTTTGTTAATTTTGTCACGGATGTCTGTTTTTGGAATTCAACCTTCAGGTGGGGGCTGGAGATCCCCTGGAGTTACAACTGATCTCCAGATGACAGGACTCGGTTGCCCTGGAGAAAACGGCTCCCCTCCCCAGGCTCCATCTCCCTCAGGCTCTATGTACAGATTTCCCAGCTTGAAGTTGTTGACACTGCCAGGTTTCCCCTCTGTTTGAAAGCCAGTTTGGTGTAGTGGTTAAGTGTGCAGACTCTGATCTGGGAGAACCGGGTTTGATTCCCCACTCCTCCACTTGCACCTGTTGATGTGACCTTGGGTCAGTCACAAGCTCTGGCACAGCTGTCCTTGAAAAAGAGCAGTTTGTGTCAGAGCTCTCTCAGCCCCACCCACCTCACAGGGTGTCTGTCGTGGGGAGGGGAAGGGAAAGGAGTTTGTAAGCCGCTCTGAGACTCCTTCGGGTAGTGAAGGGCGGGGTATAAATCCAATCTCCTCCTCTTCTACACCAGTTTAGTGTAGTGGTTAAGTGTGCGGACTCTAATCTGGGAGAACCGGGTTTGATTCTCCACTCCTCCACTTGCACCTGGCTGGATGACCTTGGGCAAGCCGTAGTTCTGATAAGAGCCGTCCTTGAAAAAAGAGCAGTTTCTGTCAGAGCTCTCTCAGCCCCACCCACCTCACAGGGTGTCTGCTGTGGGGAGGGGAAGGGGAAGGAGTTTGTAAGCCGCTCTGAGACTCCGAGTGAAGGGCGGGGTGTAAATCCAATCTCTTCTTCTTCTTCTTCTTCTTCATCAGGTTGGTGTCATGGAGTGTGTGGACTCTAATCTGGGTTCCTTGAAAAAGAGCAGTTTGTGTCAGAGCTCTCTCAGCCCCACCCACCTCACAGGGTGTCTGTTGTGGGGAGGGGGAGGGAAAGGAGTTTGTAAGCCGCTCTGAGACTCCAAGTGAAGGGCGGGGCATAAATCCAATCTCTTCTATTCTTCTTTATTATCACTTGGGACAGAAAGATGGGTTCCGGAGGAGGATGGAATTGGACTGTGGCTCCTTATGGCTGCCTACCCCCAACAACAGCCAGGAGATGCTCAAGATCTGGCTCGCGATAGAATCATAGAAGCACGGAGTTCGGAGTCTTTCTTGCCCAAACCACTGCTCAACGCAGGGTCAGCCTAGAGCAGGGGTGTCGAACTCATTTGTTACAAGGGCCAGATCTGAAATAAACGAGACCTTGTTGGGCCGGGCCATGTGTGTCATAAACGTAATGCCAGGTAGCGGAGATATAAACTTTATAAAGGACAGAAACACAGAGGGGTTGTTTTTTAACTTAATATAAAAACATGCTTAAAACATCAGCACTCTTGCAATATTTTGCTTATTTAGCAGTGTCTGATAACTGACACCCCTTGCTCTGAATTATTGCATCGAAACTTTATAACTTTATAAAGGACAGAAACACAGAGGGGTTGTTTTTTAACTTAAAATAAAAACATGCTTAAAACATCGGCACTCTTGCAATATTTTGCTTATTTAACAGTGTCTGATAACTGACACCCCTTGCTCTGAATTATTGTATCGAAATGTCTGTGCGGTTGCAATCTTGATGATGATGTTCAGGTGTGTATCTGTAAGCGGCAAACCTACGATGATGCAGCAGCAGCAGCAGAACTGGAAGAAGAAGCAGAAGACGGCCAGTTCCACTGCGGGCCTGATAGAAGCCCTCTGGGGGCCTGATCTGGCCCCCGGGCTGCATGTTTGACACCCCTGGCCTAGAGCATCCCTGACAAGTGTTTCTCCAGCCGCTGCTTATAGACTGCCAGGGAGGAGGAGCTCACCACCTCCCCACTGGCAGCTGATTCCACTGTTACACGACTCTGACTGTCAAAAGGTTTTCCCTAAGATCCAGCCAGTACCTTCCCGCCCTGAAATTAAACCCATTCTTGCAAGTCCTATCTGCGGCCGCCAACAGTGAAGTGCCTGGTAACAGCGGAAGCAGCACACTGCAAAGAAAATAGGGGATGCCCTGCAGGCTTGCCAACTCAGGATTGAGGAATTACTGGATATTCGGGGGTGGAGCCTTGGAGAGCGCGGGGTTTGGGAAGAGGAGGGACCTCAGCCACATACAAGGCCATAGAGTCCACCCTCCAAAGGAGCCATTTTGTCCAGAGGGACTGGTCTCTGTCATCTGGAGATCAGTTGCAGTTCTGGGAGATCTCCAGGCCCCACCTGGAGGTTGGCAAGCGGAGGGCCCCCGTCTCTTCCGGGCTCCACCCTAGGAAATGGGAGGTCATCGCAGGGGCTTGTGAGGAAGTCTAAAAATTTTTGCGTTGTCCGAAGCAGAGCCAGGACTCCTGAATGAGGCTGCGAGGCCCACCGTGGTCCACGTTCAGGAATAGGGAGTTCCAGTGGAGGGGCCAATGCCACCTCCCTCCGCCCACAAACTGTGGCCAGCCTCAGGAAAGCTCCCAATCCACCATGGCGGTTTGCAGCCGACTGCACTTTGAACAGAGGACGCTGCCTTTTCTTGAATCGGACCTCTCCTTCTTTGGAGGTTTCCAAACAGAGGCTAGACGGCCCTCTGACAGCACTGCTAATGCTTCTGTGAACTTAGACAGATCACGAGAAGGGAGGACAGGGAGGGTTGCCTCCTTGCTTAGTTCTCGTGGCCCTTTATTACCTGTCGTCGTTCAGTCGCACAGTCAAGTCCGACTCTTCGCGACCCCATGGACCACATCATGCCGGACCCTCCTGTCTTTCCGTCGTCCTCCGGAGTTTGCTTCATTTCATGTCTGTTCCATTGATACGTGTGCCCAGGGAAATTCTGATCGCCACTTTGGGGGTTCAGGAAGCAGTTGTTCTCCAGGCCAGTCTGGCCAGGGATCCTGGAGGGTTTCGTGTGGTCCCTCCCCTCTTCTGAGCATAGAGCAGGGGTCACTGGGTGTGTGTGTGCGGGGGGAGATATTTGTGAATGTCTTGTGCAGGGGGTTGGATTGATGGCCCTGGAGGTCCCTTCCGACTCTATGATCCTTGGTCCGTCAAGGCCAGTAGCATCTCCTATGGGAGTGGCTTTCCAGGTTCTTAAATGGCGGGCTTTCCCATTGGCTGCCGCTGGATCCTTTTAATTTGAGCTGCCCGGGACTGAACCCAGGCCCTTCTGCGTGCACAGCAGGGGTTCTACCACTGAGCCACAGCTGCCCAATGGTGGAGCAAATCGGCTTGACCCTTGGGCACAGTCACCACCAGGGGTCATTTCCTGCCGGAGTGCCCGGAGTGGCGCTCCGGCAGTAAGGAGCCCAGGCCCCGCCACCGGCCTTTCCTGGCCACTTGGCGGAGAGACCGGGGGGGGGGTTTAATGCCTGGGTCTGCCCCCCTCCCATCCCCTTCTCACCACCATTGTTGCACCGTGCAAAGCCAAGGAGGCAGTTCTGCAAGCATGCAGCAAGTGCGAGGTTCTTCAGTACGATATATAGAAGCCTCATCAGATGTTGGGTGGGAATCTGGCCGAGGAGCAGGCCCGTAGCTAACGCGGGGCCCGGCCCCCTAGCAGTTTTTAATGGAGCCCCTTCCTGATCCTCGGCTCCCCTACCCCAACTCCCCCAGATTGCCGGTCAGCCTGTTGGCAGGGAGGACAAGGGCAGTGATTTCAGAGGCTGCCCCTGGTGCTGTGCCGTGGGAAGAGGCACTGGGGCTCCTTGGGGAGGCAGGGAGCTGGACCCGGACGCTGCACAGGGAAGGCCTGCCCTTGCGGGAGGGGAGGGGGAGAGGGAGGGAAGCTGCAGCCGCTGCAGCCCTTGCCCTGGAGCCTTTGATTGGATTAGCAGGCAGGGGCCCCCAAGGCCCCCTCCCTAAAAAGTCCTTCGCTACGGGGCTGCCGAGGAGTCCCCTTTTGCTGAACGGCTTCCGGGCAGATACTAGACAGTTCTCCTTGTTGCTACGAAGCATGCTGATGTGAGGCCCGCTCAGTTCCTGACCGATACACCCGCCCCCTGCCTGTTTTCTCTTTCAGAACCAACCTGAAGACGTAAGTCGGGAATTTCAAAACTATCGTCGTTGGTCGGTAATAAATCTCTCCCCCCCCCCTTTCCGAGATAAACACACTGCCCCGGCGTGCCTTCTTGTGAGAAAGTCTCCCCACGACAGAGGCCAGTGGCTGGTTGGCTCCCAAATGGTGTTCGAGAGAGATGTGGCTTGGCAAAAGAGGGAGAGTCGATAACTGATATTCGGCTAGTTTTCAAGGCCAGTGGGCAGAGGAGGGGAGAGTGTGTGTGAGGAATTGGGAAATGCCAGGAGATGGTGGGATCAGGCACCATCTTGTCCAAGTTTCCTGCCTCTTTTGCGGGAAACGTAAGGGAACAGCAGACACACCAAGCAGAGGTGGCGTGAAAGACCTGGGTTTCGTTGGCAAAGCACCAAGAAGAAAGTAGCCGAGAGCCAGTTTGGTGTGGTGGTTAAGTGCACGGACTCTAATCTGGGAGAACCGGGTTTGATTCCCCACTCCTCCACTTGCACCTGGTTGGATGACCTTGGGCAAGCCATAGATCTGATAAGAGCTGTTCTTGAAAAAGAGCAGTTTCTGTCAAGAGCTCTCTCAGCCCCACCTACCTCACAGGGTGTCTGTTGTGGGGAGGGGAAGGGGAAGGAGTTTGTAAGCCACTCTGGGACTCCTTTGG